CCCATGCCCATCAGGAGACACTGGCAGGGGGAGGAGCACAGCACATCCGACCGAGTCACAACCCACACGTTCCTTCTCCCCGTGCTAGGGGAGCAGAGATGATGCCAACAGCCATAACTCCAAATGCTTGTCCCCATGCCAACGGTCATTAAAAAGTTGCTTTTGAGAAGCCTGTGTTGTCTACAGTCTCGCCTGCCTGAATGACAAGAGGATGCTTCGCCATCGCTTTTCCAAGGACAGGACCCCTGTCTCCACACTGTCCATGTCCAGGAGTCCAGCCAAGCCCCAGAGAAGCAGTGACACCAGCAAGCAAGGAGGCAATGTTAGCTGGGAAGGGAAACTGCACAATGACTTGCAGTGCTCCTGAAAAGGCACCTGACTGCTGTGGGAAAAGGGAAACACTGTGTCCTGTGCACGAGGGGCCTCTGGGCTGGCTGCAGTTTTGGATGGCCCACATTGGTAGGACACACCACATCCAGCCCATCCTGTCCTGCACACCTTGTACCATTCTCAGAGTGGTTTTGCTCAGCCCTGTTCAAGGCCAGGTTGGACACAGGGGCTTGCAGCAACCTGCTCTAGTGGAAGGTGTCCCTGCCCGTGGCAGGGGGTTGGAACTGGAGGAGCTTTAACATCCCTTCCAACACAAACCAGCCTGTGAGTCTATGATTCTGTGACATGCACAAAAAGAAGAAACAGTCAAAATGGGACAGGAGAGGGGAAAGGCTGGAGAAGGAGGGGTGACCAAGGGGAAGAAGGAGGGAATCCAGGCCTTGCAAGCACAACTGCAGTGGAAAACACAGAACATTGCAGGTAAAGTGTTGCGAAGCAAGCTGGGCTCGGTGTTCTCAGCAGCAAGAGGAGAAGTGGCCACTTATTTGGGTCTACAGTTTGTCTGATCTCTCAGACTCCCAATACCACCCCCAGAGCCGTGAGAGCATCACAGTGCTCACAAGGAGACCAGCAGCAGAGAACAAGATATCACAGCACTGGCAGTGTGGGATGGGAACCCCCCAGAGAAACAATAACCACCTGGCAGGAATCACACACTCCCTCCTCTTCACGCCTCCAGCAGCAGCCTGAGAACAGGCTTTGCTCAGCTCAGGCACAAGCTGCCACTGTCAATTGCTCTGTACAAGAAAATTTGCTATATAAAAAATAAACCAAACCCCATCTGGAAGGGGTGATCTGTAGTCTCCATCTTCATGTAAAGAACAGGTTGAACAAACATCTCCCGGGCTTTCAGTCAAGCTGATATTGCCTGAAGGAAAGCAGTGGAATAGATCTTGGTATCCAGCTTGACCTTTGCGGTTTTCCAAGGGCAGGTGAAGTCACAGGAAGCCCACCATTCACTCCTGCCCAAAGGACCAGTCCCTCTCCTTGTCAGATCTGGAAAGCTTGAAACAACCTGGAATCATACATCTCCAAGACAAGTTTTTCTTTCACACATTGCAGAAACCCTCCCAACTGTTTTGAAAGTCAGATTTTTTTTAAGAACTTGTGAATAAATTACAGAGAAGTCTGATTCCATCAGTTCCTTCTGAATTTTTTTGTGTTACTCTAGAAAACAATCTTGACGTGAGAAAGGGAAGCACCTCCAGTCTATACAGCACTAGGGTTCACTTTCAAAACCTGCTCAAACCAAAGCAGCGAGGAAAATTCAATCAAACTACAGCAATCATTTGAGTGCAGGAAAAGGGGCCCACAGACACATTATTCTTTGACTGATTCAATGGAGTGTGATTTTGCTCGGGTCAGTTGTACTCTGCCTTGCACTGAAACACTGACATCAGCTTTAGGAGCACAGGCTGCACCCTGAGAAGACAATAGGCATAATGAAAAGGCAGCTGGGGGTGAAAGGCAAAGCAGCCCAGTCCTTCACTTCGCTGCCAGGAGAGCACCTGCAGGGAGCTCTCCTCTGACACTCCAGGTGCTAAGATTAAAATACACTGAGACAACAAGCAGCCACCAGTAGTTGTTTAATAATGAGCACTGGCAGTGCACAGTGCAGATGAAGCACCCCCCTCCCTCCCCATGTGCTACACAGCAACTACTATCTGTAGGACACGTGCCTGCTGCAGCTCCTTCTGCCCCAGGAGGGGAGTGCTGCAGCCGGGGCCCTCGCGAGCACTGGGATGGGACCAAGCCAAAGGAGTGGCTGAGGTTTGCTGGCAAGGCTCTAGTTTGAAGTTATCATAGCCCAATTCTTCCTCAGCTGAGAGCAAAAACCATTCCTGAGGTCTGACTTCCTCAGTGGAAAGCTGCTTCCCAGCCACCTCAACAACTCATTTCTCCATCTTCTACTTCTGTTACGTTTACACTGGAATTTCTAATAGCTGCTGATTTACATTGCACAAGCCCTGCCAACTGCCCACAGCCTTTTTGTCCACCAGGGCACCATTTCTGCCAACTTTCCCCTTTGTTTGCCCAGTTTATTTAATGAAATGCCCAGAAGGTCCCTAGACTGTCAGCTGGCTCCTGCCCCCATGCAGACCACACTATGGGTTAAGGCTGCAGGATCCAGCCTCAGACAGGTGCCCATTCAGCTGGGCACTCAGAAAACCATCCCAGCTCCAATCTGCTCAGAGCACAAGCCTTGTGCCAAAAGCCAGTTTTGACTAAAAGATAGTGACATTTCCATACATGTACATGTAACTGCTGTTTTAATTTATGAAAGAGCATTTTCAAAGAACATTTGCTGAAGGCTTTCTCCAAAACAAAATTTAAGAGCACCCTTTTGTTCTGTCAAGCCAAGGAGGCTACAAGTACAAAGGTGAAAACCTGCTAACAATGCCTTACTTTGGAAGAATTGCTTCTTTGGTTAAATTTTGCTCTCTTGAGTTCCTGTTAAGATTTTACACTCTTCAGTGTAAAATTAACTATTTAGCTGGCAAAACTCCTACCATTATGTAAACCTTACTGCACCTCTGTGTGACCTTAACAGTCAATACACTCAATACACCAAATCCTACCTCATAAAAGCACTGAGCAACAAGCATGTGTCAGGAACGTGATCTTCTAACCAGAAGAGTCCACTCAGTGATAGGCTCTGCCATTGGCATCATCTCCATCAGCAAGGTGTTCTGTTAATTTACTGATAAAAAGAATATCCTCTTAACCTTGTAACTCAATCCTGAAAAGGGTCTCCGAGATGTGCAATTCAGCTATTATAAGCTGAATTATTATTATAAGCTATATAAGCACAACAGAAACACCCAGAAGGAAATCAAGTATTGCTTAGATAGCCTGCAATAAACACACAGGGCCATGACGTGAATGATGACTAAAAAACAAGAGATAGCAAGTGCTGCATTCTCCCCGAGTGCTTCTCCCCCTGGGCACTGAGCAGGCCAAGCTCTGCAAAATGTGACTGTCAAAGACCCTCATAAGCACACACCTCAATTCTGCTGCTCCAAACTGGGCATGTGCCTTCACAGCCACCACATCAAAAGTTGAGACCTGACTCATGCACAGGACACATCATCCAGCTTGAGGCCAAGGACACTGTGCTCTGCTTAACAGGCCATGCTATCTAATACATGCTGGCAGCCTCTGCCATCAAAATGGAGGGGCAGCAGGCGAGGAGGGAGAGCAAAACTCCTGTTGTAATTGAAACCACCAGACGTCCAAGCTGACAGACACATGTAGAACTTACAACAAAGGTCAAGGAGGAACAAACCCAGTTTGGTTTTCCCAGTGAAAGTTGGAACAAGATCAAAACAGCAAGAAGGGAGTGAGGAAGACAGAAGACAACGGAACACCAGGGAAGAGGAGAATGTTTTAACAATCACACACAGCTGCAACCATGAGCCTCACATTCCCTGCAAAGGAGGAACATGTAGAGCACAAGGAGGAAGGCCAATTCCTATGCTATATTCTGCCTGTGAATTCTAACTTCACAGAAACACTCAGACCTGCATGATCTCAGCCTGAGAATTTCTTCCTACCCTTTGTGTTGGGAGCAGAGAAGAAGAACACATGGAATTGTGACTTGTGCATAAATCAGCACAGCACTGTCCGTCTGCAGGTAGCCTTGAGACAGGAACAAAAATGAGGACGGAGGAAACCAGTCTGAGAACAGAAGAAACTGGACAGAGACTGGGTACACACACGCTTCCCCAGGAAGCAATGCAGCATCCTGCAACCAGAGATGGAACAATGAACCACAGCTCAAATGAACAGCTCCAACAGTTCAAAGTTCAGCTGCTGTGCAAATGTCAGAATCTGCTCTTATCTGCACCCCGTTCAACCCCAGCCAGAGTTCTGCTGGGAACTAAGGGGAATGCATGTTCTCAGCTGGATTTCTGACAAAAAGAATCCTCCTGATCATCACTGCAGAGTCAGAAATGAGCACATACGAGGAACCAATGTAAGCCTGTTCTCCAGTTCTCCACCTGCCAAACATCATTCCTTTAGTTTGACTTCATATATTACATGTAGCAGAAAGCTCTCTCTTGAGGAATGAATCAATCTTAAGGCACAAGTGGACAGATTCATTTTACTATTGACTGACCTATAGCTACAAATACTGACAACAATTATCAGAACTTCTCCTGAAGTTCTCTCCTCATCTCATACAATCTCAAACAGCATTCACACCCCGACCTTCAACAGCACCCTCTTCTCTAAAAAATAAGTATACCACATCATGCACACTTGATTCTTTTCCAATCATTTACTATTCAATTCCTGAAAAGGTGTTCAAGGCTTCACAGGTCCCATGCCATTATTTTAGTCTGCTCAGCAGAAAAGTGAACAATTGGCTGTATTGTTAGGGCCTGGGAACAAAACACCTATATAAAATGGAGCTCATTCCATAGCTACCTGTGGAAATGCAGATTCGGGATGTGCTACAGACTCCTACCCTCATCCAGGGAAAACGACAAGGGAAGGGCTTCAAAAGCTTCCCAGCACCA